CTGCAAAATGAGTAAAAATAATTTCATTTCTTGTGTAAATCTGCAGGAGGTAGTAGCGTAAAGAGGATTTTCATGAAAATCTAATTCCATGAATTATGACTTACCCCATTCTTGAGGGGTTTATACACGCGACACCCCTCCAAGTAGGGGTCAGTCTGGCACTCCCCCTTGTGGAGGTGAAGAACATGACACCCAAGTCCACTGCCAAAAAGAAATATTGCCATATTAGTGCTGTAGAATTAAACAACCCACATTAAAGACATGGGAGGCTGTGTAGAGAACATTTAACATTTTACATCTTCTGATCTACCTGCCAGTACAAAAAAAGGATGAGGAGTTGTCTTTGCAGGTCGACAGGGAGCCAAACATGGCTCCTTCACCTATTAAAAACACATTTGTCATATTTATTCTTCTCCAAACAGGTTGTTTTACTGATATCAAAACTATAGCTGCTCTATGTTTGTAATCATGCAGATTTGTTTTTACTTCATATCCACACTTCGTCTTCCGTACCATTACCCCAGACCAGGCTCTGTGCTTGGCTCAGGTTGACAGCGTACCAGCCCGTGTCTTGTAACGCAGCTAATGTGACTGGGTCAATCCGGACTGTGGTGGAATCCTCCAACACCGCCGACATGATGGAGCCCTGCAGGACCCGGGACTCCCAGTGAGAAGACGTTCCACCCGGATGGATGTCCTGAAGGAGTAAGTTAGTTTAGAGAAAGTAAGGAGAGCGTTTGTTCAATATGAAAATGGTGCCAGAGTGTTAGCTGAACTTGCTCAGTACCAGGTTCTCTAGCAGCCCTCCTAGCTCAGGGTCAGTGGTCGCCAGGTGCTTCTGCAGGGCTGCAATGACAGACTGGGTGTAGATCCTCATCTGGCCCAAAGCATCTGAGTGAACCACCTTCCCCCGAGCTGAGCAGCCGGCACCCACTGCAGGACAACTCAGAGAAAACAAGAACCAGAGCACATGATCTTTGATGTGAATTAAAATACATAGCTGACTCAAGGCATTCTTTCTTAAGGGTTTACACACAGTTTGGTTCATGTGCCTTTTGAACTGAGACTGAAGTTTGTATTGTAGATTCCAGCTGTGCACACAGGTGTGGGGAACTCTGGCAAATTGCACATTTTGTTGATTTGTTTAAGTGAAAAAAATACAAATACAACCCCTGCAGAAAAAAATGTGGCACATCCAAAGTTTTAGGCACCGTTCTATATGTAAAATACTCAGAGGATCATCAAGACATTAGGCCTTAACTGACTCATTAGGATGTGTAAGGCACGCCAACAATTATCTGTAGGAAGTGTGTTAGTCAAACCTTGAGAAGAGGAGGAACAGTCTCGCCAAGTGTGGAAGAGATCTTTAGAGAAACCAAGTGCATGAAACAGCTCGTGAATCACAGTCTGGAAAACAGATCATCACACACTGCTATTAAACCACAGAACCATCCATCATATGTCATTTTAACACAGATTTTTATTAGTTTAAAACTGACAAAATATTTAAATACTGCCTGTACATACCTGCACTGCAGCCTGCTGGTCGAATGTTTCTCCTGCCAGTCTGTCCCTGCAGATGACCACCACACCAGCCACAGGGCGCCCGTGGGTGTCGGTCTGGCAGTGGACAGCATAAGCCACCACTTTGGGCTGGGTGCACAGAAACAGATTGTACAGAACAGTAATTCACAATAATTAGTTTTTATATAAAACATTTAATATTGTAGAATCTGACGATGGGAAACGTCAGCCCACGTACGCCACACAACACCTATGTTTGTTATAATTATCTCAGTGCTTTTATAGCGTCTTCACCTCTGCTCTGCACTTGTCAGTGGACCGTATGTGCAGGTACAGCAGGAAGTCGGTGTCGGGGACTCCAGCACCTTCAGGTCTGAGGACAGTCCTGCGAGGTGAATCGGCTTCTGGGTAAATGTCACATCCAGCCAGGTGATCATCTGGGATCTGACAGGAACAGCAAACAGCGCTTAAGATGGCTATGAATGGATTTTAAGTTCTTTTGGTGCCATATTCTGACCAGCAGCAGATACAGATGCCTGCTCTGTATGTTTTTACCACCTAACCAAAGGAATACACTCATAATAACACTTACAATCACATCCAGACAAGTCTCAGCTCTGTAGTTGTTGTTGGCTCTACCACACCTGAAGGAGGAAAACTACATTCATTGCCATAACAACCCTCCTTTAGTGCACATATCTGTACAAATCCACTTTCTTCTAAATAGTGATACAGGACAGCGACTGCTCATCAGCTACAAGACAACAGTGTTTGCTAAATTAGTAAACAAAGTCCTAGTTTCAAATCCAGAACCAGCCGGCTGAGGCGCTCCAGTGTGTTGCATGATCTCCCCATTTTTTAAGTGGACGGTTAAAACGTAATCGTCATAATATCGTCACAAGGTATACACACCTGTTGTAGTTCATAGTGCTGGTATTCCTCCAGAGAAACTTGCAGTATTTGTTGATGTCCCTGCTAAGCAGCAAAGGGCCCTGTACTCTGTTAACTATCAAAACATCAACAGTTCATGATCGCACACGTTAGTCTCAGTTCAGCACCACTGATGTGAGGAAATTGTTGTGGTCAGTCCTCACAACTTAGCACCACTGATGTGAGGAAATTGTTGTGGCCAGTCCTCACAACTTAGGTTTGAGGGTTAAGACTTGGTTTTAGGGTTAATGTAAGAGTTAGGTTTAGGTTAGAGCTAAAGAATGTACAGTATTATGTCAGTGAGTGTCCTCACAGCTAGAGAAAGATCAGCGTGTTCTGTTTTTCACCTGACAGTAAAGACGACACCATCCTCACAGCCTCTTCCACTGCTGCCTCCAGTCTTTCTGTCTCAGTCCCTGATAGGCTGTCACTGTCTCCTGGCCTCCAGGTGTGGATCCTGACTGGCTGTGGAGAGGCAGGGCTGGACGGGGCTCTCCCTTCCAGGCCATGCAGAGGCGATGTCCCCTGTGCCAAATGCCTGGGCGGTTTCTCAGAGTTCAGCGTGACCTTCTCCGCGATTGGGACTCCGAGTCTGGGCTCACTGTGTGGTCTGTCTGGGTGAATGGGTGCAGCTCTGACCCTGCTGATCTGAGCCTGAACCTCATCAAAGAGGCACTTCTGTAGGACTCCAGGGAGCTCCACCACCACCATTACTACCACCACCCCCACCCACATTCTCTGGGGTGGAGGAAAAGTCATAATTATGGCTGGAACCCACTTTAAGGTCATAGTGAGGATTAAAAACAGCTGGTTACATAATGAAGTTGTGTCATGACCCCACCCACTGTACGACAGTGACAACATCCAACAGCCTGTAGAGCAGGGATTCGCTGGGTGGACAGTCAAATGACAAACACTAAACTATAGTAATATTTACATTTTAAAAGAAAAAATTATGTACAGAACTGTTTATTATTCAGAGATTAAACTCATTTTAATCCTTTGTGCTCCTTAATTTCATTTTGTTAAACAATATATTATAGCAAATGCTGAGGACGCTGACTTTTTGACTCACAGTCAAAAACTATCACATGATGAGCTAAGTATATTTTATATGAACACTTTCAGGTACATACATAAATAAATTATTGAATTCTGTTAACTTTGCCACCAGAATTTTAGTCTGGAGAAAACTCGCACAAGTGTTTACAGAAAATAGAAGCGTTTATAAAAAAAACAAACAGCTGACTGAATAAATGAGCCCGTTGGTGCTTTGACTCATGACCTCTTCTAAAACCCCTTCTGCAGTGTTGAAAGTGTTTGAATTACTAGATGCAAAATGACTTCTCAAGAGAAAATACAGTCGTATGGTCCATGTGCCTGCTACAAGATTAATCTACTAGTTAAATTAAATGCAGCCATTATAATTACCTTGGAGGTGAACGTCAGCCTGTCCATGTTGTCTCAGCGTTTAGCTGCAACTCAAACATGTTACACTGTAGTGCTGGTCTGAACATGTGTCCTCTTTCCATGGCAGTGGCGAGCGCTCTCTGGGGTCTGCGTGAATGTCTACAGGACTTCTGAATACAAAGCACAATGCAGCGACTCTTTCATCGCTGTTACTGAGGTGTCAGGTGTCGCTCAAGCACTTCACTCCCCGAATCACAAACACAGTATGCAAAACCTAGAAGTGCAAATTGTTTTAATCTCAGCCACATTTTTACTTATATACAGTGAAGTTGACCTTAACAAATCATAAAACAGCCTTGTCAGTTATATCCGTCTAGCTACTCCACGTCAACTATAATACATTCAACAAAGCAAACAGAACAACTTAAGAGAAAAAGATAAGATAATTTGCCTAAAAAAAAAAACAAAAAAAAAACTCCATAACATGTACAATAATAAATGGTACACCACAAGTCTGTTGTGTCAAAATGTGATAGATCGCAATCAATTCCCCTCAGGGGCTGAAGATTCAAGTTGAGGTTACTTTGTGATTTCGGGGCCCTTTTCCTCACTAGGGCGCCTCATCGTCCTGTGCGCGCACACACACACACACACACACACACACACACACACACACACACACACACACACACCCTAAAATCAGGCACCAAAGGGATTGTCTTTTGACACATTTGCTTTTGTAGATTACATACATTCACTTGGAGGTGTGTACTTAAACACGCAGTTATGTCAATGTGCACTAAAACAGGGGTTCAGAAAGTTATTGCCAGTCTGCCGAGAAGCCATGCATTTTTTTTTTCATGTTATAACAAAGTCTCTGATGTGTGGATGCGTGCTGTGATGATGTGAGGAAACCGCGCCTCTGTGTGTTTTGTGTGCATTGTGATTCATTTCAATCACCTCAAGCCATCTACAGGAAACTCCTCTAAAGGCACTTAAATAGGGAAATCATTTGTCTTCTTATAATATTGGAGAGAGAACATGAGACTGGACGCCATTGGCAGAAGTATGTGGACACAATCCACATCTACAAACACACTCCACTGTCTATGTAAGACTAAAATGCTAATGTATTCATACAGTTGCTGTCAAACCAACACAATATTTTCCATCATAAAAACTTGAATCATTCAATCTGCCTTAGTATCTGGATAGGGAAGAGTCTTCTGTGCAAAAGTTTACCTTCAGTGTGCAGCCTGGCTTTAATTAAATACACATCCAGAACTCACCTACACTTACATCAGCTATGCTTTTCCTCTAAAACTTTCTAAAGAAGGTCTTTTATAAAAGGGTCAAATGCTTAATTCCATGAGTTAACAAGTCCAACTCAAAACAGCTTCAAAAGGCACCAGACTTGCACAGTAAGGGCGAGTCTCGCTGTGAGCCACTCCTGTGCTTAAGTTCAAACAAATGTGGAAAGACCAGGTTTCTGTTATTTGTGAGTAAAAGACATAAAGAACGGGTAGGAAGTGTTGGGTAAGTGAGGAAGTCATTCAGGTGAGCATGGGCACATCGTCCTCTGAAGCGGTGTCTTCAGACAGGGGGATAAGCAGCACCTCATCATCTGAAGAGGACGAGGAGAAAGACGGGGATGCGGAGAGGGGCATGGAGTTGGCGGAGGAGGAAGAGGGCGAGGCTCTGAAAAGGGAGATACTCAGGCCCAGCGTGTGGAAGATGGAG